CCGGTCCGCGGACCGGGGGTTGGGGATCACTGGACTAGATGACCTGCAAGGTCCCTTCCAACTCTGTTCATCTGTATCTGTATTAATTTGGATCAGTCCAGCCATCTAACCAGGAGGAGGAGAGTGGGGGAGGAGGAATACTAACCTCATGGTGGGTTTATGGGAAAGTCAGAAGTCTCTCCATCCCTCTATGCTATGCAACCTCATCTGCCCTCATTAGCTGGAAGGCTTAACAACTATAAATAAAGTTATTTATTTATTTAGTGTATGGCATCTATAGAGGTCATGCAATCACTGATATACAAATTTAGTTTAAATAAAGTATCAGCAGAAAGAAAGAAAGAAAGAAGGATGGATGGATGGATAGATAGATAGATAGATAGATAGATAGATAGATAGATAGATAGATAGATAGATAGATAGATAGAGATATGTGGATGATACAATATAGGAGATAAAATATTAAATTAAGATGAAACTAATTAAATCAGGGAAACTGCCTTCCTAGAAATTGTTTTGTTGGATCTGTGTAATCTGTTTGGTTATGATTATTAAAAGTTGTCCATCTTAATCAACATTCTTCATCTAGATCGTAAGACTGTGATATGTTATCCCAAATTGGTTTCCTAGACTTAAGCCTGGTGAGAGGTAGAGAGTACATATTTTTATACCTATTTTATGTATTGGAAGATCTCCAGGAGTTGATAGCATATTTATCTTATACCACTCTTGGACTGCCTGTTCTTGTCACCTGAGATCAGGAGGGGCAATGTTAGAAAGAAGAGCCATGAAAGCAGCGTGGACTTAAGGGTTCCAGATATTATTCTCATGGTGTCATTAAGGTGAACATCAATCCTATTGGTATGACAACTTCTTTCCTGTACAGGTGCACAGAAGGCAAGTGACAGAAGAGAACAGCTCTTTCAAAATGCCATCTCTGATGCCAAGGATCAGCTGATTCATGAGATCAGGGACCTGTTGGATAAGGCAACATACTGCTTTCACTTGTTTCCTCTTCCAGCCCAGTCAGGTAGCAGAGTTGAAGTTGAACAGGACAACTGGCTTTTGCTTGCTAGGTCTTTGATGTGCAAGATCAAAAGACTATTGAGAAAGCTATTGTATCTTCCCTTCAGTCCACATAGGCAAAGACGAAGTGAATTCTGGTTTAATTAAACCTGTGATTACTAAGCTAGTAATTTAACTTGATTTTAGTTCTGTGAACTCATCACTTTTTGAGCAGACAAGAAGGTGGGGGGATGCAAATTCTGACAAATGGCTGCACCTATAGTCATTATAGTATAGCCATGTACCATTTACCAGTATACCCATTTACCATAATGACTGCAGATCACAGTAGCCTATGTTTGGTGTAGGGTTCTTGCAGACCCGTGACAGTCAAAAGAGGTTAGGACAGATAAGTCAGAGTCCTATCAGTATTCTATATTATCCAATACAGCAAATGTGCCAACACTGATTTTTATCTAATGATCAGAGGTAGATTCCTAGTCCCCAGAAAGGAGGCCTTCTGTTTTTCAGTGTGTTCTTCCCCATACTTCAGTTCAATATTCTCTACCTATTTTTATGAACTGGTACAAAACTAAACCAATATAATTTTTTCTGTGTCAAAGGATGAATCTTGTTCCTTTCATTTTTGTAAAAAACATGCTATCCTTATTACAAATTTGTTAATCATGTATATGTTTAATAACTCGGCAAATTACAAATTCAATATTAGGTTATGTTAACATATTTATTCATCTATTTAAAGTTTTAAAATTGCTATTCTATAAATATTTTAATTTTTATACATTACTATAGCTTCAGGGAAAACCTGATTGCAAAGACAATAGCTAGATAATATATGAATATATTCTTAGATATAGAACATAATAAAAAACTAGAAAATGAGTTTTGTTATTAAAGCATATCAGATTTTCACCAGATTTATAGAGGAGTAAATTTCAATAACATCGGTGGATTTTAACTGTCAGATAAATACAACTGAAATTAAGCTGTTGGCATAGTACAGCAAGAAAGTGATTGATTAGATCAAGAGTAAAAAAAATATCTGGTTCTCCTTATATTTTGAACTATAATTCCAAGTATCCCTCATGATTCACTATGCTGAATAAAATTGATAAGAGTGATATTTAGCAACAACTGGAGCACCACAGGTTCTTTGATCAAACATTTTTGCTTTTACTGCATATTACCTTTGCAAATTATGCTTGCATATTACTACAAACAAAGCAAGTTGCAATCCAGAAACTAAGTAGCAAAAAATGTATGTTTTTTTTGAAGGAAACTCAAATGTACAGCGAATGTACCGGTTCTTTATAAATTCAAATTTATTTCTTCCATTAAAATGGAATACCTTTAAATATACATTCTAAATGAACAAAAATAAAATATTAATTGGCATGTATCCATTAAGGATGACACTTTCCAAACCAAAGAAAATGTTTTGAAAGAATTCATAGTTCTTCTGAAGCATTCTGAAATAAAGCAGATTGTAAACCAAAGAGTATAGCACTGAGAAAGTCTAGATGTGAATCTTCAGATTAATCCCTGTTTACAAACAAATTATGCTCTAAAGACCACTCCTGAAGTTTAAGAGAAATGCCCAATATATATATTTCACAGCCACTGCGAACTTCCCCCCAATGCAAATCTATAGACATGCCTCCATTATTTGTACATGGGAAGATAAAAATCTACACCCATAATCTAAAATAATATGCCATTGAATCATAAGGATGACCATGAGAGTATGGGATCACCTTTGAATTCAGTAAAATATATGTAAAACAATATGTGAATATCTTGTCTGTCTGTTACTATTCTTAAAACAATGCAATCTATGATATGAATACTCACCTTTTTATTTAGAAATATTTTGTTTTTATAAAAATAATCCTCAAAATATTGAATTAATTAAAAATAACACTGTTGAGCTACTATATTAAAAGTAAAAACATTAACTTCCTTTTATGTACAAATGCTCGAAACAAATATTTGATCACTCCAGATCTTTCTGAAGTGAAACAGCCTTTTAAAGAGAATTTGGAACTGGTGATTGGAATTGGAATTTGGAATGCTTACCCTGAATCTGACTCTGAGGCTGAGGATTAAAAGCAGTTGTGTGGTTCAAGGAAGCTCTTGGGTTAGGTGCTGGGGCTGGATGATGTGGGCTAACCCTTATAGCTGTGCGACGCAACTGTTCCAGTTCACTCAGGCGCTCTGAAAAGGACAAACTTCCGGTCTTTGTCTGCTCATCTAGTTTCTGACGATGTCCTATTGTGGAAACATTGTGGGTGGAGAGAGAAAATGATATTTACAGAAATTGCCTTATTGACATACACAACCTGAAGCTGTATATAATTATCCATTACAGCACTCAGAAAACCAATGGTCTGTTCCACATTACATAGGCATGATATCAAACAGTCTAACTAACATCCTACATTTCAATGGAAGTAAAACTAATTTAAGCTGGATTGGAGTAGAAAACTTGATCCTACAGAGAAATGCATACATAACTCAACTCACACTGTACATTATAAAGGGTCTAACAAAGACTACACACACGTACTTATCAGGTGATAATAGGCATTTTGTGATTAAAAAGATAGCAAATTGTCATGTGAAGTATGAGACTTTCATCTCTTATCCTCTCTATTAATTTATTTAGTCTTTGCTAAACATTAAAGACATAAAGTAATATATATGGGATTCTTGTCTGGCATTATTTTTTTATTCCATACCATTCTGTTTTAAATGTATTTCTCACAGTTATTAATCTTCATCAGGGTAGCTGGGGAAGACTACTACTGTACTTCCAAGAGATAAGTCACATTCAGGTTTTTTGTGAAGCTCAAGAAAACATCATGGAAAACATCAAGAATCTTGCTGATTCATGTGAAATAAATTCATTTTATTTCATTCTTTTGCCCATTAGACTTTTAATTCAGATTTAAGACTGCAAACAATTATCTGTAAAAGTTAAACATATTCCGCAGGTCTGGGTTGCAAAAATCTAAACCTTCATTAGGGTTTCAGAATTTTTTAACCCAATAGAGCTATTCTTTCTCACACTCACTCACTCACTCACACACACACACACACACACACAAACACACAAACACACAAACACAAAAACACAAAAACACAAAAACACAAAAACACAAAAACACAAAAACACAAAAACACGTTTTCATGAAGATA